TAAGGACGTGCGGTTCACGCCGGGATCCTTGGCCGGGATAAAGTTCGGAGGTTCACCTCACGGTAGAGGAAATTAATCCGCTCTTTCTCACTTAACGAGCCGCCCGCCGCTTTACTCGCATCCTGTTTCTAAGGAGGTCACAGAGGGCCGCGCAACTCCCCTGCTTTATTTTAATTGGAACGACGGCCCTGTGAGGTAGGCGAGGTGGAGAAGAATGTGGAAGACGGGTTCGGTGGTATTCTGGCCACGGCCCCCATTCCTCGCTGAGGCGTGCCGGAGAAAGTGATTCTGCGCACGCGCCGAGGCACCCCTTCATCAAAGGCGATTTTGACACGACTGAAGGAAAGTTCCAGGCGCCGCGTGGGCCTAGGAGTCGTTAGCTTCCCTCTCTTCCCTGCCTCTGTATTTGCTTAAGAATGCATCTTAGTCAGGGACAGTACAAGAAGTTAAAGGGCCCTGCCCTGCCTGGAAGTCACATTCTTTTCTTCTTCTGACTTCCCCATAATCTTGATATGTGTTGACTGATCTGACTTTCTTAAGGGCCAAGTGATCTCCATTCACATTTTCCAGGGTGTAGGCCTGGCAATTAAAACCGGCTCTGCAGGGCAGGCTGCGAGTTTTCTCTAACTTTCTTGAAGGGCGTCCTTGCCGACTTTTACCTAATGATGCAACAGATGATGGAAATCCTCTTTTTCCTCTTAATAGAGCAGAATAATCTTAATAATTGGGGTGGGGGCAGAAAAAATTGGAAAGAAACTTGTGCACAGAGGTTTTTAAAATACCTCTGCAGGGCAGGCTGCGAGTTTTCTCTGACTTTCTTGAAGGGTCCTTGCTGACTTTTACCTAATGATGCAACAGGTGATGGAAATCCTCTTTTTCCTCTTAATGGAGCAGAATAATCTTAATAATTGGGGTGGGGGCAGAAAAAATTGGAAAGAAACTTGTGCACAGAGGTTTTTAAAATACAAAAGTTTGGAGTAGTGGTTAAGAGCGGTGGACTCTAATCTGGGAGAACAGGTTTTGATTCCCCAGTCCTCCACATGCAGCTGCTGGTGTGACCCTAGGTCAGTCGCAAGTTCTCTCAGAGCTCTCTCAGTCTCACCTACCTCACAGGGTGTCTGTTGTGGGGAGTGGAGGGGAAGGGAAAAGGAGGCTGTACACCGGCCTGAGATAAATATTTTTTTCTCACAAAAAACAATACATTTTTGCATTCCCAGTATTGCAGGGAATCCATGTTCTGAACCACATCGTTTCAGAGCATCCAGTTGCTGTCCCCCTTTTTACAGGTCCTATGAGGCCTTTTTCTAACTTGGAATTGGCCACTTCACATATTTTTAATGAGATACATTTAGCAAAAGGGTTTATATATATGCTTTCCCCACCAAAAACAATACATTTTTGCATTCCCAGCATTGCAGGGAATCCATGTTTTGAACCACATGGTTTCCGAGCATCCAGTTGCTGTCCCCCTTTTTACAAGTCCTATGAGGCCTTTTTCTAACTTAGAATTGGCCACTTCACATATTTTTAATGAGATACATTTAGCAAAAGGGTTTATATATATGCTTCTGTTGGAGGGGCAGTAGGGAGATATTTTTGCATCTGTCCTTTGGGTAATACTGAACCTATGCTTTTCACCATTGATGGCATGTAAAAGCAGTTGCAAAAGATCTGTTTTGGACTCTGCTTTTTACACCTTTCTGCTACACATCCTAGGGGTTTTGGGAAAGTTGTAGTCATTTCATCACGGACTTTGCAACTAGTGGAAGAAACTGTCTTCCTTTACTATGCTTCTTCCACACATGGTTTTTATAGTGTCCCCCTGCCCTTCTCCTATGCCATGTTTCCATTTATCTAAGAATCTAATTCATCTGAGTCCCCATTATGTGCAACACACACTTATTTTTGTTCATGTGGACTCTGGGATGAAGAAGCTCATGTTATTTCTCTTCTAGGCACTGGGAGATTTTTTATGGTTTTTGTAGGAACCTTGTCCCTGCAGGTTTTTTTTTTGTAGGAATGTGTTTGTATAAGCATCATTAAACTACTTCAGATGGAATTTATTTATAACTGCTAACAAGGCCTTATGGGATTTATTTCTTAGAGCTATTTTCCCCAGCAGAAGTGTTTTTGTTACTTCTCAAATCTACAGAATTCCTTGGAGATGTGTACATTCAGTAGCTTGAATTTTTTCATTTTGGTGTAGCCTTTGTTTATCACTATTTTTCCTATCCTGAAAGCGTATTGTTGTGCAATATATAGTAGTACGGTAACAGCAACAGTTCCCCCCAGTCTTCACATCCTTTCTCTCCCTGCTGGCATTTTGTTCCCAGTTTCAAAAAACTATACAGATTATAACATTAGAATGGGAAGATAAATTCAATAGGGGTTTAAGGAGTTGGGCATCAAAAATTACTATGTAGTTCTCTAGGTAGGAATACTAGTTACAGAGTAAAATTAAGACGCAGTTCTAAGCTTTCTTTAAACTGCAGTTTTCCTACAGCAGTATCTTTATTTAAAAACAACAACAAAACAGTTTTACTAAATTGTTGATTCAAAGGAATCTATAATAAATATTTGCTTCCCTTTTGTATTGCTCATTCTGAGCACAAATACAACAGTAATAGAAGATAGAAGAGAAGTAACTCCAGTATCATCCTAAGCATGGTTACACCCCTGTAGGTCCATTGCAGTCAATGGACTTTGTTAGAAGGGTGCAAATCTACTTTGGATGGTGCTGTAAGTTTACCCATCAGGAACTAAAATAAGAGAAGATGTATGCAACCACACTAAATAGTAATGGGTATACAAGATAACATTAAAAGCTTTAAATACAGTATTTTACAAAAAAAAAGGTTGGTATCTCATAGAATGAGTATTGTTTCCCTTCTGAAGTAGCTCTTTGTACCATGTTGATTTCAAAAGCCATTGCACTTGCATCTCTCTTAAAAGTGAATTCTTGATGTCTTGAAACAATCTTGTTGCTACCATTTATTTATAAAGTTCATTTCTCTCCTCGAATATCTGTGAATCTTAGTCAATTTTTATCTATAATATGGAATGCTTTCTTGAATAGTAGTGTCTGGCAGGTTTGGCTGGTGAATCCAATTCCAACTGTAGAGGCAAATGACATGTACACATAGGCCCCAGTCACCCGGCAAAGTTGCCGCGGGAGAGGCATGGATGGTGGGCGGATTATCCGGGCGTGATCACACCCCAACATCTGGGGAGTGCACCCGTGGCTTACCGCCGACAATGCGCATTAAAAAACTAGTACCTCCAAGGGTGCACTCCACTTTTCCACGGGCTGCCTCCAGATGCCGTGGTGTGATCGCGCCGGCGCGCAACATTCCCCTCCGGTCCCTCGTTTACCCGCCGGCGCCGAGGGAAGGACCTGTGGTGTGCCACCGGCGCGTCTGATCGCGTAATCGCAGATCAAACTGCGCCGGGGCAATTAGCCACACCCCCCCAATGATATCCGGTCCGTGTGGCCGGGGCCATAGTAAGGATAACAATTATGTTGTGTGGAAAGTTCTTAACAGAGGACCTAATTTAGAGTAGTTCAATTGATACTGACTAACACATGCGCTAAACAGCGTCTTAGTTGGAATTTGCTGGAAACAGCTTGGGTTAAATCATAATCTTTTTACCACTCTGTCATGATCTACTTGATAAATTTCTGCCCAGCTGTCCATAGACCTTGTGTTTGGTTTGGTTTTCTCTATGTTAAGATTCTTCAGTTGCATCCTTGATTGAGAAGGGGGAGTAATTTAGATAATCATGCATACTCAGTTGTAATAATACTGGAGAATAGGTCTTTCCATACTTCCAAGTATTTCCATATTTTGACCCCTAAATAGATATTTCCCCTGTTATTTTCTATGGTTTCCTTTAAAAAAGTCACTTTAAAAATTCACTTTCATACATAATGTCTCTAATGTTTCATTGTTATTGACAATGTCTCAGTGATCCACTAATGCACCCTAAGCAGCTATTAGAGGTTTCCTAGTGCACCTTAAGCAACCACAGGCCAGAACTAGTTAATTATTTTTTTACTGACAATGACAGTTCCCCAGTGCTTAAGAATATTATGAAGTAATCCCCATGGTAACCAGGTACGGGATGGTAAACACTTTAAATCAGACCAATTTATACACATATATATTATATCAAGTTACACTGATTTTCTTGTGTCTTCCTTCTTTGGAGAGATTGCTGAATTCTTAACATTAGTGACAACTGCCAATGTGTTCTGCTGTTTCAGTAGTTAATGTGCTTTTCATTGGCTTTGTGGTTCCTTTAAGATTGTATGTCTGAACAGTTGCTTCAAAATTGCCATGAGTAACCTTAGATGTTAACAAGAAGGTTTGCTTATCACATTATTGCCCGTGTTCTGGTTTTGTTTTGAAAAATAAAGCTTTGGCAATATTTGTCCTAAATGTCCGCCTTTCTGAAATAAAGGAGGGAAGTTTACCATCCATATTTTTCTTCCAGAGATTTCTATGTTAATTTTTTTTAAAAAGACTTAAAGAAAACAAGGTTTTTGATCTGATTTTGTGTCCTAGTGGTTCATTAATATATGATTTCTTTCACTTCAGTGGAATGGCTTTTTAGAGAGAAAGGACAAATTTGGCTTGATCATACTGATCATACCAAGTTTTTTAAAAATTATATGTATCCTCTAATGTCCTGTCTGTTCAAAGAAGTTCTCGCCAGTGAACAGGAAAATTTAATCTCTGCTTATTGGTATTTCAAGGAACAAATTTCTCTTTTGGTGCTGTAACATTCTACTGTACGTAATTCAGCAAAAGTCTGCATGCAACGTGACTGTCATTTCCCTTTGAAGTTGATCAAAATAATTTCATCAGTGAAGCTGGTGGCACAGCTGAGAACATAATTGCCCATGAATGTATGTATTTCATGTAGAACTGTGCAAACTCTGTCCCCTTCAGAATTCTGTTGGAGTATCTGTGTCTCATAAAAAAGATTGTTCCAGATACCAGTGTCACTTTTCAGCTCTTAAAATATCAACATTTCTTTTTAAGAATTGATAGCAAAAAGGAAGTAAATTTTTTCAACGTGAGTTCCCTTTTCAGGTCTGTAGCTGTATTCAGAATGGAATATGCGAGAATACTGAGTGAGGGGTTTTGTTGTGTGTTCAGTGAGTGAATGTAGGAGGAAAGTTGGTTTTAGGTAAACACACTAAGCTACTGGTATATGGCTGGTGTTCTCTGTGAGTTCTGGATATCTGAACAGATAAGGAGGTTCAGACTGTCTGGAAAGCCCTACTTTGTGCAGGCACCATGGTTGATGTGACTTCTGTTTTCACCAGGTTGTTGTTAATTTTCTTTGGCTCAATTTCCCTGCTATCAATATCCACCTGGCTGTGTTGCGTTGGAGTTATATGAGGGGTAGCCTCTGTTGACAATGTCTGTTGGCTGCGGGAGGCACTGTTTGCTGTTGATCTTGTGGAGGAGGAACCCGAATGTGAACTTCTGGAACCAGAAGAAGAGGAGCCAGGCTTGACTAATCGGGCTTTTGGTGCCTCTGCATCTTCTCTGTAATCAAGAAAGGCAACATGATGAAACCAATAAATTATAAGAACCAGAAACATTTGTGCATTATGAATTTCTTGATATTTTTTAGAAACTTGTAAAGGTTCTGGAAACTTTATCAAATATTCATTGGTTCATTATTTAACTGTGCGTCATTCATGATATATGGAAAGTAGCGTAGATTTTGTTCTCTAGTTTACATATATCACACCCCAAAGGGTACTGCTTTCCATTTTTATGCAAAAGAGTTCTGAAGTTGTTGGAAGGAATGCAGCATTGTTAATACCAGGAGTTAAAAAAATTAAATTACTTGCCGACCAGAAAGATTGTATGCACAAACATTACAGAAGTCATTAATGGGACTGATAGCTCACATATTTAAGTCCAGGGGTTCACATGCAACGACATGCTCCAAATAACATCAGCAGTTATGTATGTTTTTGCCTATGGTGTTAAAATTAGTTGCATTAATTTTTGAGACCACAGTATAGTGGTTAAACTCAGCTTGATCCATTTAAGCTTTTAACTGAAAACCTTGCACTATGGTCTATACTGGTGTGGTATACCATGTTTCTTAAGTCTACATATACTAATTTGAATCACATGACCTGTTATGATATAGAGGGTACTTTAACTGAAAACTGGTAGGAGCTGAGGCGCTTCCCATTTGAGATGACTCGTCTCGAAGGGCTAATTTGGTAAATGCTCAAGGTAATGATGGGAAGCAAGCTAGAACTTGAGAATGAGAATTCAGCATTTATATCAATACAAAGTTGTACTAAAAGTCTGAAGTAATCACAGTTGGCTTCAAAAGAAGCAGCAGTACAAAAATAAGAGAATTAGTCATTTAGAATGAAGTTGAAGCAACAGAGTCACATCTCTTTAAAACCATATTAGCTAAAACCCAGATAGAGAGCATATCTCAGGAAATGCACCAGTTAAGAAAGGATTATAGTGTGGTTAGCGATCCAACTTATTGATGACATAAAAGACAAGATGGCTTCCTGTAAAAAGTGGAAGATTTGCTTGAATGAGTTAACAAAGGATCAGAGATTCTGACAAAACCAGTATAAATTGACAGGTAAGCAGAAAGAATTTGAGGAACAGACAACTAAAAACGTTAAGACAAGAAGCATTTCTTCAAATGTACTAGGATGAATTTGAGGAACAGACGACTAAAAACGTTAAGACAAACAAGAAGCATTTCTTCAAATGTACTAGGATCAGGAAACTAGCTAGGGTAGTGGTTGGGTTATTGGATAAAACATGAGTGAAAGGACTGCTTAAGGAAGGCTGGGAAATGGCAGAGAAACTGAATTAATTCTTTGGGCTTGTTTTCACGGTGGAAAATGTGTGCCAGGTACCCATACCCAAGGAGAGGTTTTTAGTCAATCAAATAAAGATGACGAGATGAAGTTCCAGGACTAAATGGGCAAAATATAAACTAAAAAAATTCCAGGTCTGGATGGTATACTCCCAAGAGTTGTCACATGTTACAAAACTCAATATCTTTTAGTCAATATGTGCAACTTGTCACTAAAATTGGCCTCCACAACTGAGAACTGGAAAGTAGAATATGCTGCTCCAAGTTTGGAAAGTAGTGCAGAAAATTATGGGCTCATTAGGCTAGCATTCGTTCAGGATAAGTGAATAGACACTGTTATAAAAGAGAATTATTAAGCACATAGAGCAGTGATGGCAAACCTTTTAGAGATCGAGTGCCCAAACTGCGACCCTAAACCCACTTATTTATCGCAAAGTGCCAACACGGCAATTTAACCTGAATACTGATGTTTTACTTTAGAAAAAACAACTCATATATTAACTTAAGGTGATCCAAACAAAGTAAGGAAAGCAATCCCAAATGCTTTAATTTACTTAAAATTATTTGGCAGAGAATTCGACACTTTAATGATGGTCTGGGCCTGGCTGGGGCGATGGCACGCGTGCCCACAGAGAGGGCTCTGAGTGCCACCTCTGGCACTCATGCCATAGGTTCACCACCACTGACATAGAGGAACAAAGCCCGCTGAGGGGAAATCATGACTCTTACAAAGAAGCGTGTTGCCAGCCTTTTGGAGTTCTTTCAGAGGGTTAACAAGCATGTGAATGAGGATGGTCCAGTAGACATTATATTCTTGGGCTTGCCTTTTGATAAGGTCCCTAAACAAAAATTGCTAAGTAATCTTAATAGTTATGGGATAGGAGGATGGATCCTTTAGAGGATTAAAAACTCACTAAACAGGAAGCAAAGAATAAGAATAAATGGACAGTTCTCACAGTGGAACTAAGCAGTGGGATCCCACAAGGATTGGTATTGGGACTGGTGCTATTTAGATTTGTTTTTAAACGTGCTGGAGTTGGGATCAAACAGTGCTGTAGTCAAGTTTGAACATGATACCAAATTATTCAACATACTGAAAGCTAAAGCAGATTGTGAAAAGTTTCAAGAGGATCTTTCCAAACTGAGCGAGCCACAATGTGTTAAATGAAGTGCTGTGTAGGTAAGTACAAAGTGATGCACATGGGGCAAAAAATCTCTACTTCTGGTATATGCAAATGGGGTCTAAACTGCTGCACCCCATCTTGCGGCACCCGGGTCTTGAACTCCTGAACTACTGACCTTCCACAGCTTGCAGTTCAGTGTCTTAACCACTTGAGCCACCGCAGCTCCATGAAGTGCTGTGTAGGTAAGTACAAAGTGATGCACATGGGGCAAAAAAATCTCTACTTCTGGTATATGCAAATGGAGTCTAAACTGCTGACTAAGAGGGGAAAAGATCTTGGAGTTGTTGTGCATAGTTCAATGAAAATGCCAACTTGGTGTGCAGCAACTATAAAAAAAGGAAAATGCCACTCGCAGCTTTGTAATGCCCTTATATAGATCTATAGTGTGTTTTCATTTGGAGTACTGTATACAGTTCGAGACACCATGTTTTTTCTTTTAAATGATACAGCCAAGCCAGGAAATATCCAGAAGGCAACCAAGTTGATAAAGGGATTGGAGTACCTTTCTTATGAGTCTGGTGTTTTTCAGTTTAGAAGAAAGATGGCTGCATTGGTATGTGATAGAGGTGTATAGATTTATGGATGGGACAGAGAAAGTGGAGGTAGAGAACTTTTTCTGCCTCTCCCATGGTATTAGAAGTTAGGAGCACCAAGTGAAGTTGATGGACAATAGAATCAGGAGGTACAAAAGGAAGTATTTCAGTGATTCAGCAAATTGTGAAGGTCGCTGGATATAACAATGGCTATTAGTTTGACAACTGTAAAATAGGATTAGATAGATTTTTAGTGGCTAATGGCTGCTATCTGTAATTACTATGCTGGAGATTACTAGGAAAGGTATTGAAAATGAAATAGCCAATATTGTAATGGCCCTGCATAGATTTATGATGCAAATTTTGTGCAGCAGCTTGCAAAACTCAACATTCAAGGAACTAAGGAAACATAAAGTACAACATAAGCCAATATAATATATATAATTTTACTAGGAAAAAGGCCCATTGTGGAAATAAATACAATGAGCTCTAGAAAGAGGCTCTGGCAGAGTGCGCCGGCCTTGGGCACTCAGTGTCAATTTGCTGTGGCAATCTCAGCAGGGTATAATGACAGGGTATAATGTCCACCATTTTCTCCAGAGGAACTGATTTCTGCTACCTGAAGAGCAGTTGCAATTTTGAGTGATTTCCAGCCATGGTTGCCCAGGAGGAAATGGCTGGTTTGGAGGGTGGAGTCTATGGCATTGTACCTGTCTGAGGTCCCACCCCTCCTCAAACCCCACCCTCTCCAGACTCCACCCCTCAAATCTCCTGGAATTTCCCAACTTGGAGTTAGCAACACTATCTCCTTCCTAGCCAACCATCAACCTATCTTTATCTGGCAGTTTGACTTCAGCTTTCCATCTCCCCCCTCCCTCCTAGAGAGCAGGTGTAAGCCTTGGCTGAGCTGGCCTTGGCTGGGAGGGTGGGGTATAAATTTAATTAATAAATAAAAATAATTCTGAGTGATCTCCAGCCCTCACCTGGAGATTGGCAACAATGGTTCTCTAGGAGGGAATGGCTGGTTTGGAGGGTGGAGTATATGGCATTGTACCGGTCTGTGGTCCCACCCCTCCTCAAACCTCACCCTCTCCAGGCTCCATCCCTCAAATCTCCAGGAATTTCACAACCTAGAGCTGGCAACTCTAGTCAGGACTGGCCCCAATGAGTTTCCTACAAAGAGGCCTGGAAAGGGCTTCATTCCTTTGTCTTTTTTCTGACAGAACCAAGCTTGGTTGCCTAGCAACAGCCACTGAGGGAAAAGTAGTCCCACAGGAGCCAAGCAGGAGAAGTGTCTTCGTCAGGAGAGACGGCCATTTTGCAGTTATTCTGACGGGCTGAGGTGGCAGTGGGACCACGCGCTTCTTCGTTGCGCGCAGGCATGTCCTGTGATCAGCACCTCTCCCTACCCACAGAACCTCCACGGTACCTCCACAGAACCTCCACAGGAGGTCTGATTGCTTAACCGTGCGTTAGTTTGCCCCGGGGCAAACTATATTTTTTAAGTCCTGCAGTTTCCTGCCCGTGTGACAGGGGCCTCTGTGTATTATTTGACTGTTATTTACAATTTCTTATACAAAGTTTATTATAGTTTTCTCTGAATTCTAATGATTTTGGGTGATGATGATGATGGTATATTTTATTCTGTGTTGTATGCTGGGGTAATACCGTAATAAATGACTTTGATTTTGATCTATGATGCAACCTCATTTGGAATACTGTGAGTAGCTCTGGTTGCTGCATCTCAAAAAGTACATTGCAGAGCTGGTAAAGTATGGAAGGGGGCAAACAAGATGATTAGGGGTTGGAGCTTCTTTCCTGTGAGAAATGGCTGAAGAATGTGGGAAAGGAGGAGACGACTAAGGGGGAACATGATAGAGGTTTATAAAATTATCCATGGGGTAGATAGGGTGGACAGAGAACTTTTTCTTCCTCTCCCCAAATACTAGAACTTGGGGCACCCATTGAAGTTGATGTGCAGTTAGATTCAAGGCAGACAAAAGGAAATACTTTATGACTAATTAAAATGTCGAATTCATTTCCAGAGGATGTAGTAATAGACACAGGCATAGATGGCTGTAAAGAGGGGTTTGTCAGATTCATGGAGGATAGGTCTGTCAGTGGCTACTAACCATGGTGGTGACAAGGGTACTTCCTCCTTCAGAGGCAGTAAGTCTCGAGTGCCAGGAGGTAACATCAGGGAAAGGCCTTGGCCTTTATGCCCTGTTGTTGGCCCTGCAACATGACTGGTTGGCCACTGTGAGACAGAGTGCTGCTTGAGGGATCACTAGTCTAATCCAGCAGGGCATCTTTTATGTTTACAAATAGCCAGTTGTACTAGATGAACACCGTGTAATTTCTGTTTGCATAGTCTATTAAAATAATTATCTGTTAGGAGTTCATGGTCATTTTATAGCTTTATATTTTGTACCAGCTGGCAATCCATGAAAACTATCCCATATGAACCAGCACACTGAATCAAATTACTGTTTTATTGAGCTAATACTCTTGTCTACCAGTGTCGCTAATGCTGAAAGTTTCAGACAAAGTTGAGAAATATGGAAGTTGCTGGAATAGGTTAGTCTGATGTTTGCTTTCAGCATCCAGAAAGTTAGGGCATCCTTAATAACATAGTTGCATTCCTTGATTATGTTAATGGCAACCGATGAACAGATACGCTCTCCTTGCATTTTATAATTGCCAAAATAATTTAATTTGCAGTCAGGCTGTGGAAGGTCGGTAGTTCAGCAGTTCGAGACCCAGGTGAGCTGCTGGCTCTAGTTCCAGCTCCTGCCAACCTAGCAGTTCGAAAGCAAGAAATTGCAAGTAGATAAATAGGTACCACTTCAGTGGGAAGGTAACAGCGTTCCGTGCGCCTTGGTTTTTAGTCATGCCAGCCACATGACCACGGAAATGTCTTCGGACAGCGCTGGCTCTTCGGCTTGGAAACGGAGATGAGCACTGCTACTCTAGAGTCGGATTTGACTGGCTTTCGAGCAAGGGAACCTTTACCTTTACTAGTCCAGTAAAACCCCATTGTGGAGGGGCTGCTTGGTATCTGCTGAAAGCATTTTATGCAGTGCTGAATGACCTCATGTTTTTAGGCTCTGTGGTCATCAGGTTGTTGGGCTTTTCTTCCTAAAGAAGAAAACAGTCTGCATTTGGTGTTGCAACACAGGCACAAAATGCTGAGGGAGGGAGGCTGTCATGTTTTGGTGTGTGAGGTAATACCTGTTGCTTTAGCAGTCAGTTGTGAAGCATGAACTAGTCCTGGAGCTGCAATCTAGTCCCAGAACGCTTTCAGTGCTTACCACATCTGTAGCCATCATTGCAAACCAGATTTGCTCCACATTGTTGCTGATAGAATTTGATTGTTATCTGGTTGTTGCATTTGTCACATTTCTAACCATCTCAGCATATCAGAATGAGTGAAATGTTGGCTATGAGAGGCTGGGCTGCTGAAGATTAGGCTGGTAAGCTTCGTAGATGTTCCTTTTGAACCTGGGTTTCCCCACATCCAAACCTACTGTTCTATCTGTTAGCTGGTTTATGTGGGTACTTGGGCCAGTTTATAAAAGATGGTAGGCATATGTAATCATTGTAAATTGCTTTATTCCACCAGTGTCTTGTTTAAATCAAGCCAGACTTTTCTATTTTGAGAAAGAGATACACATTTCTTCTCCGTCAGCTGTTCATGGTCTTAATTGTATAGTTGAATTCTGCCTTTCTCCTCCTTCCAAATCCCCCAAACCATTAGTTATCTTGTCAGTAATCCTTGTCGCCCTGTGTTGTGGCTTTCAGGTACAGGAAATGGCAGTGGAGCAAAAGGAACATTTCCGAAGAAGCTGAAGGTGGGGAAGAAATGAGAAAGGGACAATAGAAAGCAAGGCATGGGAAAAAGTACAGGTGAATTACACCTAGTAAAGAATTTGTATCTTGGAGCTGGGAGTTAGCAGATGGAGCAGTTAACTTGTGGAGAATGCACAATGTTAATTACCTGTAAAGGGTAAAGAGATTAACTTCTTTATTGGATTGTTCAGCGAGTGAATATACCTCAAGCATAGGATGGTAGTTTTTAAGTAGAATGAAAGCAAGGAGGTTTAGCTTTTTCTTTAGAAGGGTGTAATCTACTGAATCATGCTTTAAGAGACTTCCTGGAAACTCCCTGCTCTAAAGGTTCAGAGCGGCTGTTTTAAGGATTACATTACATACACAAAGACTTGTCATCTTGCAGTCAGCAAGTTGTCGAAATTATGTTTGCCTTGTAGGAATCCAGATGGAAACACAGCTGAAAAATGAATACTTCAGAATTTTGAAGGAGCTCTGGAAAATGAAGATGCCAAAAGGTACCCTCAGGCTCAAGTGGTTAAGATGCTGAGCTGCAGACTGGAAGGTTGGTAGTTCAGCAGTTCAAGACCCGAGTGCCGCATGACGGAGTGAGCTCCTGTCTCTTGCCTGCAGATCTGCAGTTCAGCGTCTAACCACTTGAGCCACCGCAGCCCTAGCTGCTGCATATACTTTGTCATATCATTGGTCCATGTAATCCAGTACTGTCTCCTCTGGCAGGCAGAGGCCTAACAATGTCTCCTCCTGAAGTCTTTCCAAGCCCTGATGCCTGAGATCCCTTTTTGAACTAGAGATTCCAGTGGTTGAACCTCAAGCATGCAAACCATGTGTTTTACTATCGAGCCACATCTCTTCCCTTCTGTTCTTTTAAAACTGTTCCCTGTCAAAGAAAATCTGTTCGATACGTGAGTGTTTCTGGAGACTGAAGCAGAGAGGCTATTGAGGAATTACCTGATTTCATTTGGAGACTCTTCTTCATATTTGTTCTTCTCTTTCCTCCTGATCGTCAGCCATGCTGTCAGGAAGACAAGGATGGGGACTGCAATCGCTCCACAGGCTGCTCCAGCAATTATGCCGAGATTCCGTGCATCTGCTAATTCACAAATGCATACCCCTTTATATTTGCCATGTAGTTAATGGCAGTAAATAATCATCATCGTTGTATGTCACTGTGTGTGTATAGCCAGGAGATCCTACGATTGTTTGGCAGCCAGAAGTTCTAGCTCTTTTAGCGCTATGTACCAGTAGAGAGCCAGTTTGGTGTAGTGGTTAGGAGTGCAGATTCTAATCTGGGAGAACTGGGTTTGATTCCCCACTCCTCCACATGCAGCTGCTGGTGTGACCTTGGGTCAGTTACAAGTTCTTTCAGAGCTGTTCTTTCATGAGCAGTTCTCAAAATAACTCAGCCCCACTTACCTCACAGGGTGTCTGTTGTGGGGAGGGGAAGGGAAAGGAGATTGTAAGCCGCTCTGGGACACCTTTGGGTAGTGAAGGGTGGAGTATAGATCCAATCTCTTCTTCTAGGTGGTGAGCTAGACTTGTTTTTTTCTTGTAGGTGGTGAGCTAGACTTGTTTTTAAGGCACGAGACATTTCAGAGGTGGTTTGCCATTGCCTGCCTCTGCATCACCTCCTGGTATTCCTTGGAGGCTGCTCATCCAAGTACTAGCCAGGGCTGACCCTTCTTAGCTTACGACATCTGACAAGATCAAGCTAGCCTGGGCTATCCAGGTCAGGGCGTCTACCATGTAATATGATATGGTAGAGCATTTTAATCTCTCTCCTTTCTCCAGGTGTCAGTACATAATCAGGAGGGATCATGTAATCATGACCTGCTTGGTCCATGAACAGGCATCTTATGCTTGGTGCACCATATATGACTAAAATGTTTTTTTTTCCTTTTTTGTAACCTCATGTTATCCTATTTGCTGTGGTTGTTGAAATATGCATCTATCTGCTCATCATAGTTGTACAGACAGATTTGTGTTCGTGTTGCTAAAAAACCTTGTAATTTACAGTAGCAAAGTTTGTATGGTTAAGTATTCTCATGTCATGGGAAGGATAAAATTCGAAGGAAACTTGTTAATCACCGATTAAATGACTTAAGTAAACATTTAGGCTGACATCTAATTACATGGGATTACATTACATGGGAGAGTCATGATAGTTTTCTTTCCTGTTCAAATATAGTTTTGTGTTTGAGAATGATTTTGGATAAGGGTTGTGGCGTTGGGAGAAGGTGAATTTCACTCTTCCTGCACCATTTCCCAGTCAAAATTGCTCTCCAGTACACAATACAGGTAGCTTTCTTCTCCCTTGTAGTAGTTCTGGGGCATGATTAGGGAAATAGCATGCTGGGGGAGGCAGTGGCATAGCCCTTTTTCCTCCAGCGCTACAACTGTAATACCAATAATTCCCTCCCTGGCAGCTAAAAATGTCAGAATTGATCATAGATCTTGCATGTTTGTCCTTCATATTAAAATTATGCAGGAATGTGGTCAAAGGCATGGCCTTTGTTGCAGAGAAATAGCTCACTAATGAAAACTGGAGAAAACTGTTCAGAAATATTGCTGCTATTGAAATTACCCTAGTATTAAATACCACATACTTACACAGCACGGTCACCTGCACAGTACAGCTGTCCTGTCCTGCGTCGTTGGAGGCAGTGCATTGGTATGACCCTGAATCCAACCGTGTGAGATTCTTCATCATGATTTGTGCTGGATTGGAAAAGTCTAGAATATTAGGGGAATATGATTTAATTAATGAATTGGGGAGTGTAATTGCCTTGAACAGCAATGAGAAGAAAATTACAGAGCAAATGTGAAGCATCATGTTGTAACTGATAAAATTCCTGAATTCTTCTGAATTTTATATAGAGGTTAAGTTGGTCAGTAGTGTGTCTCTATTGACTTATACCATTCATTGTATTGTGTTTTAAATGGTTTTTTAATATTCTACCAATCTATATATCTAATAGCCAAGTTGCCCCCTCCGTGCGGATATCTAAATCTGCACATTGGGGGCACTTGGGGGGCAGAGAGATTTTCCTGCACGCTTGGAGCAGTCCCCAGGTGTGCAGAAAAATCTAGAACGTTGAAAAAACTATATGGGGGATACTTAAATCCCCCAAAAAGTAAAAGAGCGTTCCCTGCGCATGCGCAGAGAATGCCTTGGCAACTGTCTCACTGCTGCCGCCGCTGGGAGGGAGGAAAGCCTGGTGGGCTTCAGGCCTCGCTGCCAGGGAGGGGGGCGGGAGAAGGCTTGGCGGGCCTTGCCGCCACCAGTGTTGGGGGAGACGGGAGAAGGCTTGGTGGGCCTGATGGGTCCACCTGCTGGGCTCACCTGCTGCCGCTTCCTCCTGCAGAGCTCCTGCTTCTGCAGGCCGGGAGCTGTGGGGAGTACTCCCCCCCCCACGAGTATCGAAGGTCCCCCTTCTTGTTTTACCTGATTCTCAAAATGGAACCAGGGTGCCCTGATGTGAGGGGGAATGGATTCACGCTGTAACTGAGTGCACTGCTGATATTGATACATAATTGAATGGCTGTATAAACATCTTTTTATCAACCCATAGGCAGGATTATTATTATTACCTTTTGGTGTCAAGTTGCCGGTAACTTACGGCAACCCCGTAGGGTCTTCAAGGCAAGAGACAGTCATTGCTTGCCTCTGTGTAGCGATCCTGGGCTTCCTTGGTGGTCTCCCATGGTCCACCTGCTGGGCTCACCTGCTGCCGCTTCCTCCTCCTGCGGAGCTCCTGCTTCTGCAGGCCGGGAGCTGTGGGGAGTACTCCCCCCCCCACGAGTATCGAAGGTCCCCCTTCTTGTTTTACCTGATTCTCAAAATGGAACCAGGGTGCCCTGATGTGAGGGGGAATGGATTCACGCTGTAACTGAGTGCACTGCTGATATTGATACATAATTGAATGGCTGTATAAACATCTTTTTATCAACCCATAGGCAGGATTATTATTATTACCTTTTGGTGTCAAGTTGCCGGTAACTTACGGCAACCCCGTAGGGTCTTCAAGGCAAGAGACAGTCATTGCTTGCCTCTGTGTAGCGATCCTGGGCTTCCTTGGTGGTCTCCCATCCAAATACTAACCAGGGCTGGCCCTGCTTAGCTTCTGAGGTTTGACCAGATCAGGCTAGCATGGCCATCCATGGAATCACAGAGTTGGAAGGGACCTCTAGGGTCATCTAGTCCAACCCCCTGCACAATGCAGGAAATTCACAAATACCTCCCCCGCCACACCCCCGGTGACTGCTGTTCCACTTTATGTTGCGGTGTGGCCTGGTACAAAGTATGTTATACTGTGGGAAGTGGAGGTAGGAAGGAAAATAATCGTCATGGGCTCTGTGCAGGCCTTTGTTTGGCACTGTAAGTATGCGTACCACAGCATATAATCTGTTAGAGGTGCCTTGCCTCCTCCTTTCAGGCAGTGATCAGCCCTGTGAATGCACAGAGCATTAAAGCAATCATTTTCCCCTGCCCAGTTCAGTTCACTCCTGCTGCAAGAGAGAACCTTTCCTGAGGGTGATTCCTTCGTTAATGTGATAGATGTGAAATAGAAGTGACTTACTGATTCGTGTCATGGGTGGAAGGGATCCAGTTTTCCCCTCCTCGTCAATTATACGTTTCCACTGATAGGTTATGGGCTTTGTGCCCGAGGCAGAATTGCATTGTAACGTGATTTCTTTTCCTTCAGACATCTCTCCTTCTTTCCAGCATTTAGGTTTGGAAGGTTTCTCTGGGGAAGGAGGGAAACGCAGATGAAATTGCTGAGATAATTGGAAACCAGGAAAACTTTTGTGTTCAGTAGGAGAGCAAAGTCTTTGTTTTGAATAACATTATACTGCTCTTACCCAGAACTTCCAGAGTGATGTGATTCCACTCGTAATGCCCAGCATTTTTAACTTTGCACGTGTACAGCCCAGCATCACTTGGTTTCAGAAAAGAAATCTCCAAGGAGGCATCTCCTGCCCGGAAGTTGGAGGCAAATGAAACACGACCCTTTTGTTCTTTAATAAAGTCAGGGTAGATACGGTCTCCTGCGTAAGTGATCACCTGAGAGGCAGAGGAAGTGTCTTATCAGTTACTCCATTTCTCATTTCGCAGTTGCTCGTCTAGCAGAACAAAACAAAAACTAAATACAGTCCAATAATGAGAGATTAAACGTGGCTGGAACTTCTGACATTTAACAAAAGTAGCTTTACCAACTGATGTTCCATACGTCGCCCACAATGTAATCAGTAATTAAGGTGCTGCAGTGGTGGTCTTCCTTGATGAAGATGCGTGTTATAGTGGCTCACTTGTACTACGCAATTCCTTCTGTGGCTGTATAGTTAGAGCATTTTCATTGTTCAGCTTTCTACCATTATACTGCCTGTAAAATCTATTCATCATACAGTCAAGATGGTTTGTCCCGTCCATCTGAAATTTGGCACAGAGCAATGCAATCTGACCAAATTTTACAACAACTCTGTGAAAAATTATAGACATTTCAAAGTTTGCCATGACCTTGAAGCGGCAACAGTTTGCAGTCTATTTTTTTTATATATACCTAACACATGGCTTTCATATCTTTTCCCAATTAATTCTGTCAAAAGTGTTTCATGGATCTTCCATGGATCTTGCCCTATTTTTAGCCATCAAGTCATAGCTGACTTATGGTGACTTCAAGGGGTTTTCAAGGCAATAGATAATCAGAGGTCGATTGCTTTCCTCTGTGTCATGACCCTGGACTTCCTTGGTGGTTTCCTATCCAGTTACTAACCAGGGCCATCTTCGTTTCCAAGCTCTGACGAGATTGGACTAAATGGCTATCACAAGTCAAAGCAACTAGTTTTAAAACTATATTGCCCTGACTAGTTTTATGAAAACCAATTGCATACCAATAAAATTAGGATGAGGAGCTGCGGTGGCTCAAGTGGTTAAGACGCTGAACTGCAAGCTGTGGAAGGTCGGTAGTTCAGCAGTTCGAGACCCGAGTGTGCCGCAAGACGGGGTGAGCTCCCGTCTCTAGTTCCAGCTCCTGCCAACCTAGCAGTTCGAAAGCAAGAAATTGCAAGGAGATAAATAGGTACCACTTCAGTGGGAAGGTAACAGCGTTCTGTGCGCCTTGGTGTTTAGTCATGCCGGCCACATGACCACGGAAATGTCTTCAGACAGCGCTGGCTCTTCGGCTTTGAAACGGAGATGAGCACCGCAACCCTAGAGTCGGATTCGACTGGCTTTCGAGCAAGGGAACCTTTACCTTTAAAATTAGGATGCTTCATAGTTCCCATTTTCAAACTTTAAAACTTTTGTTGAACTAATGTTGAGTTATGAGTGTTTGCATGGTTGGTGAATTAAACATTCTTGGAGGAATGTCTACCCTGCAGAGCCTGGTATAATACTGTAGGCTATGAGGCTATGCTCCATCCTTGGGGCATTTTTTTATTTTAGTTCTCTGTTTTTTGTTCTCTGTTAGTTTTATCTTAGCTTAATCCTATCTTAATTTACTTTTCAGTTCTCTACTTTGCGACTTGTTTTCTCAGTCTTTTGTTTTCCTTTTGTTTAACAGATTCAGTGCCAAAGTTCCCCCTCTCTCCCCTCATCTGGGTGTGGTTGAAGCGGCTTGAAGGCTAAATAGATCAGAGGGCCTTTTGATGGTGTCTGTTAATTGCTAATTCTACCGGGGGGGTGGGGGAATAGCCACATTCTGCCCAGCCAAAAGCAAACTGAGCTGTAGTAGTCGCGTTAGGTTGCTTCTACTTGGCAATGATTCTCCTTGTAGCAATGAAAAAGGTTAGAGCCTTATAATGGGGGGGAGCAAAATTTGGAATGCAGAGGAACTAGTAGATAAATCGTTATAGTGATATGTCAACTGCCATTTTTTAAAAAAGCCCTGTAGTACCAAAGAAGAAGAAGAGATTGGATTTATACTCCGCCCTTCACTACCCAAAGGCGTCCTTTCCCTTCCCCTCCCCACAACAGGCACCCTGTGAGGTCGGTGGGGCTGAGAGAGCTCTTGACAGAAATGCTCTTTTTTCAAGAACAGCTCTGACAGAACTACGGCTTGCCCAAGGTCATCCAGCCAGGTGCAAGTGGAGGAGTAGGGAATCAAAGCCGGTTCTCCCAGATTAGAGTCTGCACACTTAACCACCACACCAAAGGAAAGAATGGTTGTTGAGAGGACGGGTGAGGCAAAGAGAATGTGCTGATTTGAATGCCACCAACACACCTTCCTGTCCATAATGGCATACAAATGCACTTTATCTGTAATCTTTCCATAATTAGCATACCAAAACAGGTTTGGGACAGCTCACACGACAGCAGGGGAAAGTCTGGGAAGCGGACAATCCTATTGTGTGGAGGCTCAAGAAAACTTGCTCTGGTTTGGAAACCAAACTGGAGCGAAGCTTCTGTGCAGAAGCAATCCTGGTTATCTATTATGGAGGGCAGGATGAGAAATAACAGCAACAGGGAAGTTAAAGAGAAGAATTAAGGCTCATATTCCAAGGCATAGATGTGTATGGATACAGTAATCTGTCTGTGGAAGGCACTGATAGAAAGCTTATCTTTCACTTTTCCATTCTCCCCAGAAGTTCTTCCTGACTCTTGGAGAGTTGTCTCCTGGGATACAAGAGATGCTCTGTCTTCTTGGTGCTTGGGGGGGGGGTCAACAGTGGGATGGCTTCTAGTGTCCTGGCCCCACTGGTGGACCTCCTGATGGCACCTGGTATTTCTGGCCACTGTGTGATACAGAGTGTTGGACTGGATGGGCCATTGGCCTGATCCAACATTGGCGCCTCTTATGTTCTTATGTTCTGTCAGCAGAGCTCCACTAATGGAAGAGGGAGGAAAAAGTTCTTTAGTTCCCTGATCTGCCTCGCTATTAGTCCATTACTCTGTTTATTCCTTAAAGTCAAAAATGGGTACCTGGACAGATACTTTTATTTCAGCATTTCCCAAATTCCTATACAATTGACAGATTGTGGAACCAGCCATTTTCCTATTTGTTAACTGTTCAGGGAAGTAGAACTCTTGTACTCAGGGAGATCAGTGGGCAACTTAGCCTCTTTTGCTGTGCCCCAGAGGGTGGGAGATTTTACCGCCATCCTGGATCTGAAATATAGGGAATCAAGAAACACTGGTTTGGTGTTCTTTCAGCCCAGCCTTAGAGATTTACACTGTCATCCAGGTTCTTCAACAAGGTCCAGTGGGTCAGGAAGCATCTCGGAATCTTACAGTTGCTTCTGCAGGATTACCAGAACCCCATAACCAGATCAGCACCTATATCTCCTCCTTAGTTACATCTCCAATTGCAAAAATACAATCTCTACTCAGAAAAACAGCAGCAGCCAAAAAAGACTAAATGTGTTCAATGTTCCCGCTAAGCTATGAAGTCTTGTGAGCAAAAATTCTACTTTGTGAGCTACTGGCATTAAAGGTGTGAGCGAACAATTTGGCTACTGCATAAATCAGTTTGCTCTGGAGCCATCCTTCCTGAGCTAAGACAAAAATGTGTGAGCCGGAGGCTAAACAACTGTGAGCTGGCTCACACTAACTCAGCTTAGAGGGAACACTGAATGTGTTTCTTCTACCTGAAATGTCAAGACCATCAGAAAGTTCAGGAAAGAGAGGGCAGAGTTCTTTCTCATATACTGCCTATGGCACTGGTGGATCTGTCTGATTGGTCAGAAGCTGTAGTGTATGCCATGTCTCAGATGCCTCCTGTCTCAGGGTCTGATTTTCTACCATGGCCCAAGGAATTCCAGTTGAAATCTGAGTGGCTATTCCAGTGAAACAATAGGTATCTAGCATACCACTTTGGGGTCAGCTTCAGAATCCTGCAGCAGCCATTCTATGTCCAGGCTTGTGGGCCCCAGAAGGTGCAGCTGATGGTGGCAGGGCAGAGTGACGTTTGCTTCGGCCACTCTCGTAAATAGTGTCTGGGCTTGTGACATCCAAGTGGTGCAGGTAGCTGAAAGACAAAAAGTCAGACGTTGCGAGTGAGCGGCACCCAATAAATACCTGCCTTAGCATTTTCCTATCATGTTAACAGCATTGGTGTCAGGAGGGGCGCCCCAGAGACCCTCCTGACTTCTTTGGAGAACCTCCACCCGGGATGCCCCAATTCTGGCAACAACCGGCTGGCGACCCCTTGCGAGGCTTCCCCGAAGGGCCAGGGATCCTCCCCTACCGCGGCTGTCCAACCACCAAAGGGGGAGGGCAAGCAACAGCTGGGCTGGGCGCCCCAGAGGCCCTCCTGACTTCTTTGGAGGACCTCCACCCGGGATGCCCCAATTCTGGCAACAACCGCGGCTGCCCGACCACCAAAGGGGGAGGGGGAGGGCAAGCAACAGCTGGGCTGGGCACCGAGGGGCTGACCGAGAGAATGAGGGATGGGGGAAGTTCACCAGGGGGTCCTGTGGCTTGGGTGGTGGGCCAAGGCTGACAACCCGGAGTAATAAAGGATAGGTGGGGAGCAATGTTCCCTCTAAGCTGTGGAGTCTTGTGAGCAAGATTTCTACTTTGTGAGCTACTGACATTAAAGTTGTGAGCGAGTGATTCAGCTACTGCATAAATTAGTTTGTTCTGGAGCCATCCTCCCTGAGCTAAGACAAAAATGTGTGAGCCGGAGGCTAAAAAACTGGGAGCTAGCTCACACTAACTCAGCTTAGAGGGAACACTGGTGGGGAGAAGCCGGGGAGGATTCGCTGATACCTGGAGGAACGACGTAGTGAGGGAGAAATGGGCGCAAGCCTCATCCACTCAAACGTCTACCAGGACGCTGCTGGCAGGGAAGGTGCAGAAACCTCCCAGGCGAAGTCTGAGGCGACCCCCGTTGCCAGACCTGGACTCCCAACCCACCACCCAGCTGCCCCCCTGAACCCCGTGGACTCTGACAATTGGACAGCTGAAGGCTCGTGTATTCTGTCCCTAAACTCTTTGGTTTCCCATCCTTGCAGTACCACAGCCTCTTTTGCTTTTCCTGTGTCCTCAGAATGGCATGCTGTTAAATTTAACTTTAGCACTGAATGTTTTCCTTCCTCTTTCCAGCTGTGGAGTGGTGGTAGAGAATGTCTGTGAAAACCACGACAAAGGGCTCTCCGTATTTTAAGTAGCGCACTGCTGCCCGATCTGTTGTGCTTTTCATGGAAATCTTTATGGAGATTGCTTCCTGGAAGCAAAATTAGAAAGCGCTCTGTCGTGGTAGGGCATATTTAGCAGATATCTTGCCTCGGCAGCTTCCCAATACAAGTTTACCAATGCTGGATCCTATAGGCCAAGTTGCATCTTGTCTGCTTCTCCAAGCTTTCATGGCATTATTGTAATTCCCGTGCTGCTTTGATTTTACGTTAAGGCGTATTTATAATCCTCCTTCCCAGTGTGTGTACGTTTTATTGCCATTTTTATTGATGCATTGAACTTTATTGTGTTTTGTGATGTGAGCTTCTTGGATTGATCAAGCAGAGCAGCACGTAAATGTTTAAAACGGGAAGACATGTTTGAAATGGACAGTGCAGACTGAAAAATACAGACTTGGTCATTGTGGTACCGTCAACTAAGGTGGGATTTACACCATCCAATATGGGACTGATGTATTTATGCCTTCATGAAATGATGGAGAGCTGTGTTTTCGCTTGCACAGCTAATGCTGTAGGCAGGCAAGTAAGGGGAAGCCTTGATCATCAGTTGCTTTCCAGGAATGTCAGAAGTTTTAATTGGTAGCTGTCAGAATAGGGCTGGGTAGTAGTAGAGCATTAGTTCTGATTTACTGCTTACCCAGAGGTTGCTGAAATGCCTTTTTCAAAAAGTAGCATTCATAATGGCCAAAAGTGGCTATGAGGTCCTGTTGGTTTACTTGGCCAACACCAGGGGCATGTGTCCCACATAGGAATTGGGAGTTACAACGCCACATAACTTTCTACTCATGAGTTGTGAGTTGCTTTGGGTTATTTTGGGTTATTTTGGGTTCTTCCCATGGCAGTCCTAGCTGTAGGTTTCCTTATGCTACTGAAACTGCAGAGGAGCAAGATTTGAGTCCAGTAGCACCTTAAAGACCAACAAAATTCCTAGGGTATAAGCTTTTGAGATTCCACACACACACACACCCTTTGCCAGATGCAATGGAATTGCAGAGGTAGATCTGATTTCTCTACATACCCTTTTGGTTATCCTTCCCTAAAAAAAAAATAAAAAAAAAATCCCTGCCCAAGACAAAGAAAATAATTTCTCTTGCATGATCTGTGCTGAATATGGACACCCGTCTTGTGTGATGTGGTTTTGCTGTGAGGCAGCACAGCTCCACAAAGAATTAGCTTTGAAGCCAACTCTCCTCTTCCCCAAAACGAGTGAACGAATGGCTTGTGCCGCTCAGCGACTGCATCAGGAGGAACCTTTTAGAGCTCTGAAAGTGGTTCTGTTCACTTTTTAATTTAATAAGGTTTTTTTGTTAAACAAAACGATAAAACTGCATAACATGAATAATACATATTGCAATTAAACAGTGAAATTACCAGGTTTGAATGTATATGTGTGTTTGATGCTTCGTGCGCTCACCACTAGAGGGACTCTGATGGTAATGTGAAATTTTGTTGGAGGTAAAAGAATGTGGAGAAAACCAAACATAAGGTCACTTCTTTGGAGAAGACACTTCCCAACTGTTAAATACTGGGTTTCATGGATGGTCCGACCCCGAGCTTAGTGATCAGCTCAGAGTTATTAGTGATTCAGCCACAACAATGCAAAGACCCAGGGCAATGGCCCTGTTTAAATAGCATGCAAACACCACCCACTCCCCAAACAACTACTAACGATAGGCTATTGTCAGACCCATAACTTCCTCATTGGTCACCTCGAGAGTTCTGGTGAGCTATTGTTCTAGAACTCCAAGCTCAGCCAGTCTCTGGTAAAAACAGTCCTGGAATGTTCCAGTCCCAGTACATAACACCAACACTGACTTTTGATTTTGATTTTAATTAACTATTTTTAAAGAACAGTCAGGGAAGTGAAAAGACCAAAGAGCAATATAGAAATAGCCCAGTTCTAATATGATTTTGTTGTGCAGCATTGGTGTGTTCACAATGACTTCATTCATTTGTATCTGTAGAGACCATCTCTGCCTTTTGGCTCTCCTTTCCTTTTTTAAAAACGTAACAGAAATAATTAGCATTCCATTCGATTCATTAATGCTCACAGACCAATTAGTCATAAGCAAATTAAAAAAGGTACAGAATACACAATTACAGTATTAACATTATAGAATATCATTAAATATAATAAGGGGAAAAAATTAAGCTCAACGAAAATCACAAGGCCACCATCCACTAACAACTTAGGTGCAAGCTAGTCCATTTTCATATGTGAATTATACTCCACTTATCTCGGGCAATACTATGTTTATCGCAGTCAATAAAAGATACCAAATAATACCTAATTTTCCACATTTACAATTCTTATTCCCTATTTGCCCTTTTAATTATTTCATTCACTATACTTTGCTTATTTAGTAACACATAAATTTGTTGAATTCACCTCATATCTCTCGTATCCAAACGAGCCCAGAAGAAATTTAACTACTGGAACTGTAATGGCTGGATCAGAGCCACCAAGCAAGAGTTGAAGCTTACTTGCTACGGGAAAGTCACCGTCGGGAACGAACAGATCAGTGAACTGTGTTCTTAGATGCTTATATCTTTGGCAGGAAAAAAGGGACACTCTCTGTGGTTTCAATGGAGTCAGATCTGCAGCCACATAGACGTTCAGAGTAGGGCTTCTTAGTGTAGTGCCCACTTAAGAACAGCAATAGGTAGTACATTAAACCTAGCTTAAAAAGAAAGCTCTCCTATAACCTGGGATGGTCAAGAAATCTGAATACAGACAGCAAAGGCCCAGATTAACCCTAAGGGTGGGCCAACCTATGGGGGGGGGCTTACGTGCTTGTTTTTAGATAGACTTAAAGTTGCCAAACTAGTGCAACTAGGTTCTTTGCCCTCAGTTTTGCCTGTTCTTAGGGCTTTTTTGTAGAAAAGGCCCAGCAGGAACTCATTAGCATATTAGGCCACGCCCATGACAGTACAGCTCATTAGCATATTGGGCCACACACCCCATGGCTTGCCTTGGGGAGCCTGGGCAAGCCAGCCCTTGGACAAGCTGGGGAAGGCACGGGGAGGCATTTAATGCCCCCCCCGACCCTTCAGGCCCCCCCCCCCCCGGCCGCTCGCCTCCGAGTTGCGCGGGGTGTGTGTTACTCTCCAGGCCTTCTCTCTGTAGCCGCGCATGCAGAGGTTTTGGCTGTAGTGGGCGTGGCCAAATCTGAAGCCAGCCGGAACTCCATTCCTGTGTGTTCCTGCCCAAAAATAGCCCTGCCTGTTCTGATATACATAAATGATGTTAAGCTGATACTTGTTACTGTTCATCTCCCACCTTCTGTAAGTGGGGAATTGAGACTTCTGTGGAGATTACTGTCTGAGCAATTGAGTAATTTGTCTTCTGAGTACCGTGAGGCCTTTTTAATTGTAGCAAGAGATTTTAATGCCCGTATCAGAGCTGCTGATATTCACTGGCTTTCAGCCAGTGGGAGGCTCCTGGATGCTTACACTGATGAGCCTCAAATTTCTGTAAGTAATAGATCTACTAGGGGCTGTAAGATAAATAAGGCTGGTTTGTTTATGTTACCCTTTATATTAGATTGTTCTGAATGGCAGGAGAGGAATAGATCCACATGGGGATTATATATTTATTTCCCAAAAGGTCTAATTGATTATTTTTTAATTTCCCCAATCTAAACTTGGCGGTTAGGAGTATATGGGTTGGACTAGATGACCCTGGAGGTCTCTTCCAACTCTATGATTCTATAATTCATAAGTGGTCATTTACCACTTGTCCTGACATTATCAATTAATTCTCAGAGTCTTTGGTTCCTATAAATTAGCATTGGTACTTTGGGACTTCTAAAGGTAAACCGACTTTTTTTAG